AAACTCTATCCATTGAGCCAAACCCACTAGGGCACTTGCTGTAAAATTTAGAAAAAAATGTCTTAAAAAACAAATAGGGTGCTGTTTTTGTGCTCAGAATAACTTTCTATATAATAAAAGGCTAATATGCAAATTGTCCCCTTGACTGGTAGTTCCACCAGGAGGCGGGGCCGGCCGGCCAACCACCTGTGGCCCCCCCAGCTGGCCCCGCCCCTGATCGGCCACCCCCACCTCGATTGGAGGCGGGACTGGCCGGCCAACCTCCCAAATCCCCTCCCCTGGCTGGCCTGGCCCGATCAACCCCGATTGGGGAGGGCTGGCTGGACCCCACCCATGCACGAATTCATGCACCAGGCCTCTAGTGATTTATAAATGTGGTTGGTTCCTGTATAATAAGGAATTTGACCCAAATAGATGTAAACAGACACTTTCCCAAGTGATAGGAATGTTTGTTATTCATGGAGGGCCCTAAGCCATATCACCCTAACCTGGGGACAGGAGCTGGGGACTGACTTCAACCAGGTGGACAGTAATTCAGTCATTCATGGGAATGCCATGAAGCCTCAATACAAACTGGACACCGACACTCACACATGGGTGCTGGGATTGTAGTGCCTCCTGTGAGTAGATAATTAAGGGTACAAATTGACTCTAATTTGTACCCTTTCCCTGTAATAACAGTATAATTGCCCTTAGTGAGTTCTGTGAGGCTTTCTAGCAAATTACTGAACATAAGGATGGTTTGGGAAGCCCCTGAACTTGCAGTTGTTGTCAGGGGTCTTGGGCAGACATGATTGTCTTCAGGACTATGCCTTAATTTTGCAGCTTTCTGGGTGGTATCCCAAGAAGTAATTGTGCCTGGTCATCAGTTTCTACAAAAACACCGAACTTTTCTCCCTCCCTATGTTTTACTTTTCTTCTCTTTCTCCTAGTTGTCCCTTTTATTTTTCATATCTCTTTTTATGCTTTTTTCTTTTTTTTATTGTTTTATTGCTTAAAGTATTACAAAGAGTATTATATATGTCTTTTTTTTCTCCCCTTGACCCTCCCCTAGCCTCCCATGCCCCCCAGTGTCTTGTGTCCATTGGTTATGCTCGTATGCATGCATACAAGTCCTTTGGTTGATCTCTTACCGCCCCCCACCCCCCACCCCTACCCAGCCTTCCCACTGTAGTTTGACAGTCTGTTCGATGTTGCTCTGCCTCTGTATCTATTTTTGCTCATCAGTTTATAATGGTCTTAATTATCCATAAATGGGTGAGATCATGTGGTATTTTTCTTTCATTGACTGGCTTATTTCACTTAGCATAATGCTCTCCAGTTCCATCCAGGCTGTCGCAAATGGTAAGAATTCCTTCTTTTTTACAGCAGCATAGTATTATATCGTGTAGATGTACCACAGTTTTCTAATCCATTCATCTGCTGATGGGCACTTAGGCTGTTTCCAGATCTTAGCTATGGTGAATTGTGCTGCTATGAACATAGGGGTGCATATATCCTTTCTGATTGGTGTTTCTGATTTCTTGGGATATATTCGTAGAAGTGGGATCACTGGGTCAAATGGGAGTTCCATTTTTAACTTTTTGAGGAAACTCCATACTGTTCTCCACAGTGGCTGCACCAGTCTGCATTCCCACCAGCAGTGCACAAGTGTTCCTTTTTCTCCACATCCTCTCCAGCACTTGTCGTTTGTTGATTTGTTGATGATAGCCATTCTGACAGGTGTGAGATGGTACCTCATTGTCGTTTTGATTTGCATTTCTCGGATGAGTAGTGACTTTGAGCATGTTTTCATATGTCTCTTGGCTTTCTGAATGTCCTCTTTTGAAAAGTGTCTATTTAGGTCCTTTGCCCATTTTTTGATTGGATTGTTTATCTTCCTTTTGTTAAGTTATATGAGTTCCCTATAAATGTTGTAGATTAAACCCTTATCGGTGTCTTTTCTTTTTTTTAACACATTTCGTACCGCTCAGGAGTTTTCCCGTGTTTCGCGCGCCATCTGTTAAGGACCGCTCACGAGTGTTCTCATTTTTTTTTTTAATTAAATCTTTATTGTTCAGATTATTACAGTTGTTCCTCTTTTTCCCCCCCCATAGCTCCCCTCCACCCGGTTCCCACCCGCCCCTCCGTCCTCAACCCCCCCACTGTCCTCATCCATAGGTGCACGATTATTGTCCAGTCTCTTCCCGTATCCCCCACACCCCTTTCCCCCCCAAGAATAGTCAGTCCACTCCCTTTCTATGCCCCTGATTCTATTATAATCACCAGTTTATTCTGTTCATCAGATTATTTATTCACTTGATTTTTAGATTCACTTGTTGATAGATGTGTATTTGTTGTACATAATTTATATCTTTATCTTTTTCTTCTTCTTCCTCTTCTTAAAGGATACCTTTCAGCATTTCATATAATACTGGTTTGGTGGTGATGAACTCCTTTAGCTTTTCCTTATCTGTGAAGCTTTTTATCTGACCTTCAATTCTGAATGATAGCTTTGCTGGATAAAGTAATCTTGGTTGTAGGTTCTTGGTATTCATCACTTTGAATATTTCTTGCCACTCCCTTCTGGCCTGCAAAGTTTCTGTTTAGAAATCAGCTGACAGTCGTATGGATACTCCCTTGTAGGTAACTGACTGTCTTTCTCTTGCTGCTTTTAAGATTTTCTCTTTGTCTTTTGCTCTTGGCATTTTAATTATGATGTGTCTTGGTATGGTCCTTTTTGGATTCCTTTTGTTTGGGGTTCTTTGTGCTTCCTGGACTTGTAAGTCTATTTCTTTCACCAGGTAGGGGAAGTTTTCTGTCATATTTCTTCAAATAGGTTTTCAATATCTTGCTCTTTCTCTCTCCTTCTGGCACCCCTATAATTCGGATGTTGGTGCGCTTGAAGCTGTCCCAGAGGCTCCTTACGCTGTCTTCGTATTTTTGGATTCTTTTTTCATTTTGCTTTTCCGGTTGGGTGTTTTTTGCTTCTTTGTATTTCAAATCTTTGACTTGATTCTTGCCATCCTCTAGTCTGCTATTGGAACTCTGCATAATATCCTTTATTTCAGTCAGTGTATGCTTAATTTCTAGTTGGTCCTTTATCATAACCTTGAGGGTCTCACTAGATTTCTTGAGGGTCTCACTACATTTATCGGAGGTTTCTAGAAAGTTCTTGAAAAACCTTAAAAGTGTCGTTTTAAACTCTATATCCAGTAGTTTGCTTTCCTCCATTTCTGTCATTTGTGTCCTGTTTCTTTGTCTCCGCATTTTTTATGCTTCCCTGTGTTGGTAGAGTGGCTTTGTGTGCTAGGTGTCCTATAGGGCCCAGTGGCTCAGCCTCCCCAATTACCTGAGGTGGACACTCTTGGTGCACCCCTTTGTGAGCTTTGTGCACAGTCTTGTTGTAGTTAAGTCTTGATTCTTGTAGGTATCACTGAGAGGAATTTACCTCCAGGCCTATTGGCTATGAGAATCAGCTGTGTCTACAGTTGGAGAACTTCTGTGCTGAAGACACCCTTATGAGGCAAGACTTGGTGTTCACTGTGTCTGCCCCCTGAGTGTGACCCTTATGGATCTGAGGAGTTGTAATCTGGATGATCCCACTCTGACCACTGGGTACACTGGCTCTTGGATCTAAAGAGGTGCTAATTTAGCCTCTGCCTGAGGCTACCCAGCAGGAGCTACGAAGAGATCTGCAGATTCCCCTTCCTTGTTTGGGGTTTGGAGGTGCCCAAATGAGGCCCAGCTGTGAAGCAATGCAAGCTGCTGTGGGGCCTTGGGCCTTCTCTTGGAAGTTCTGGGTCTGTCTGGCCCAGCTGCAGTTTGTTAGGTAATTTTCAGATTGCAAAGGGCCAGGGCATTCATATGCAAAAGCCTCTGCTGCAGCTTGGGTGGGGCGGGGTCTCAGGGGAACAACAGGGCGGAGCAAGCAGCTATGGCTGCTCCTCAGCCCTGCCCTGTCTCAGTGTCCTGGTAATTGCTGCAAGCACCTTTGAGAGAAAGCCGCCCTCGAGTTCCGAGTTCTGCCCGCTGCCAGACAGTCCAGTTTCTCCCGTATGAGTCGGGGGCTTGTGGCTCCCTCCCGATTCAAAAAGACAGCCGCGTCCTCAGTCCCAGTCCTTGCCGCGTGCGCTCGAGCCTCAGTACCTCTGCACTCCACCTCCGCAGCTCCTCTGAGTCTCAGTGTGCTTTTCTCTTTCCTTCTAGTTGTAGAATTTCCACTCAGCCCGCCTTCCTGTAGTTCTGGATGATGTCCGTTTTGTCTTTTAGTTGTATTTTTGAATTTGTTGTGGGAGGCAGCAATTTCCGGTGTTTACCTATGCCGCCATCTTGGTTTCTCGAGTGTTCTCATTTTTCACGCCCATGGAAAAAGGAGCGAATCTAGATACTTATGTAAATTTTGTTTGGTCCCTCTTCATAGAGAAAATGTCTTACGCAGTACCATACGTTAAAAAAGTACTAGGAACTTTAATTGTTTAATTGTTTTTGTAAATAAAAATGTTATAATTATTGAAAAACAATACTTAAAGTGCATTATGATGATTTAAATAACGTGCAGTTTGCCCAAGAACGTGTGGTCCCTGGTGTATGTCTTAGAGATTTCTATGCGGTACGCAATGTGTTAAGATCAGTCCTATAACACCAAGGAGCCTTAGGTCACCTAAACAGTGATTTTCAAGTACAAAAAGATCTCATACACAGATAATTGACTGTGAAATGTTTGCACATGGCCATTGGGGTACTAGAAGAAAGCAAAATGTCTTTAAATACTTAATGGTAAAATTTTCCTTCAGCAAGGAATTATGAAAATCTCATTTGTAAAAACTGAATACCTTTAAAGGAAAACTCTGCATTTGTTAAACTGTAGTTCAATGGACTACCCATGTAGATGTTTGATCTCATTTAAATATGTTTTCCCTTTTTAAAAAGATCACTTTCAGTTTGGATCTTTGCTGTGAGATAAACATTTTTAAATTGTTATTTGATGGGAAGAAGCACTTTTACTTTTTTATCTGCAGGTTATAGATAGTTTGTGAGATGAGTGACTTAGAAGATGACGATGTCCCCCAGCTTTCTTCCCACGCCTTAGCAGCTCTCCAGGAATTCTATGCTGAGAAGAAGCAATGTGCCTACCCAGGTGGAGATGACAAATACAATGTTGGGAGAATAGAAGAGAATTGGGTGAGTAAATGCATTCCATATATATTCAGAAATATTGGTGTGGAACCTGTTCTGAACCTAGTTCAGGGTTTGTCTATATCCATCTGATACCCAAAGCTTTGTCACCTGTCATTCGGGAGCTGATAACCTATTTGGGGAACTAGGACAGAAAGCTGTCCAGGAATATCGCATAAATGCAGATTTTCCTGGTCATGAACTTGCAAGCTTGATGATCAGTGGATGGGACTTTTCAGACGGGAATAGCATGTCATGTCCCACACAAAGATGTGACTCCTTCCTGTATGCAGATGCATTCTATTTGTATTTATAGATAGAGCTCAGCAATCCTGTAGAAAGGGAAAAAATATCATGGTAGTAAATGGGGTAACTGAACTTAAACATGTAATGAAACATTAATGAAAAGGAGTTCAGATGATATTAATAGTTTCTGGTGTATAGTGTGCATTTTAATTATATTGTATGGTCCAAATAAAAATAGGAAGTGAAAGAGAAAAAAGTTGAGTTGAGGGAAACTTCTAACATAAGCTCAGATGTAAAAAATTAAAATTTTTTTGCAGGAGATAGTTGAGAATTAGATGAAGCTTGAATTTTCTGTGACTCCCTTAGATAATAGATTTGTCTTCCTCCCTTTGCAACTAGAATGAAGCTTTGTATGTTGGTGTGTTTTCTACAGTCTTTTACATTTTATGTCAAGTTTGGGTTTCTTATATAAAATTTTTCTATTTACCACCTGTTTGAAACTGACTGTGATAAAAATATTTCTCTCCATTCTTTGAATGTTCCATCTACGCAAAGCCTCTTTCCCACTGTTTGTTTCTTTGTGTTTGTCTTCTAGCTTGGTGCTTCTATAGATAGAAAGCATCAGACAACTGAAGAACTGCAATATTCTTGAGTCATCTTTCTCTTTTCCTTCTGCTTAATTTTTAAAACTATGTACTCTGTTCTGATTCTAAAAGTAATCTATACAAAATATATGAACAAAAAAAAAGTAAAAGTTAGTCCTACCTGGTTGGGTAGCTCAGTAGGTTGGACTGTTATCCTGTATACCTAAAGGTTGAGGGTTCAATTCCTGGTTAGGGCACATACCTATGTTACAGGTTCGATCCCTTGTTGGGGCAAGTTCGGGAGTCAGTCAATGTTTCTTTCTCACATAGATGTTTCTCTGTCCCTCTCTCTCTCCCTCTCTCTCTAAAATCAATAAACATATCCTCTGGCAAAGATTAAAAAGAAAAGTCCTAATTCCACTACCTAGAATTAACAATTCTTATAATTTTGACACTTTTCAGTTATTTCCAATTACAGTTGACATTCAATATTTTATTAGTTTCAGTTATGCAAGCATAGTGGTTAGACATTTATGTAACTTATGAAGTGATTACCCCAATAAGTCTAGTACTTATCTGGCACCATACATAGTTATTACAATATTGTTGACTATATTCCTTATGCTGTACTTTACATCCCTGTGACTATTTTTTAACTGCCAATTTGTGCTTTTTTTTTTTCATTTGACAAATATTTAAATCATTTATTGCTGTTAAGTTACAGCATTTCAGAATACACACTGCATGGAAATGAATACTTTTCAGACCCTGGGTGTGAGATCTTAAGGGTGTAGCCAGCTGTGGGTTGTCTCACGGTCATTACAGAACAAGTCAAGAGTTCTGAGCACTCAGGTCCTAAGAGTCACCGACTTTGTTCTCTTCCGTTGCTCGTTCAGTAAATTCTAACAGATAACAAACACAGCTTCAGAGAAAGCATCGCTGGGAATCACGGAAATGACTGCCTGTGCGACTACTCATTCGGGGGAGGAGGAGAGTAGTCAGTACTTGTGAGGCAGCCGGGGGTGGTTCAGGGGCTCTGGGGCTCTCGCTGTCTCGCGGGAATGGTCGGGTCAGTAAAAACAGCAAAACAGTGCTCAGCCAGGCTTCCTCAGCAGGACTGTCCTGATGACGGAGCCGAGCCCGTGGCTCAGCAGCGGCAGAGCCTCCCTGCCCGGCGCCAGCCCCTCCCTGCCGGTGGTTACGCTGCTGCCTTCTTACTCCTCTTGTGTTTGATGAGCGCCCGCCCTGGGGGAGCGGGGCCACCTCGGTGGCGTGGCACACGAGCAGGAGCCAGTTGTGAGGCAGCACCTTGTAGGCAAATCTTCTTAGCTCCAGAGTTACAGAGAGGGCGAAAGTCAACTCTCACAGAAATTCTCCGAAATTTTACATGTCTTTATAGAGGACAATGGGGGGACCCAGTGTGACTTCCTGGCCCCACAAAGTCAAGCTCAATATGTAGACCCGGGAATCCTGGTTCCGGACTGTCGAGCAGCTTTCTGCACTTTCCAAAGCACCCGCACAGGAATTCCGCCTGAAGGCCTCCTCTCTCCGCTGGCGGAGTGTGCGCGGTCGACGCCGCAGACGCCTGCGCCTTGCCGCCCTCGCCGCCCTCGCCGCCCTCGCCGCCCTCGCCGCCCTCGCCGCCCTCGCCGCCCTCGCCGCCGCTCCTCGGAGCCCTACAGCCCCGGCCCAGCGGACAGAAGGGACACCCAATTTGTGCTTTTTAATTCCCTCATATGTTTCACCCAGCCCCCTGAACCCTCTCCCATCTGACAACCATGTGTTCTATCTCTATGAGTCTATTTCTGTTTTGTTGGTTCATTTATTTTGTTCTTTAGATTCCACATATAAGTGAAATCATATGGCATTTGTCTTTCTCTGACTTACCTCACTTAGCATAATACCCTCTAGGTCCATCCATATGATCACAGATGATAATGTTATCGGTGAAAGGAGGTATCCCTTTCCCCACTGAGTGCTTGTGGTTGGGTCCTTATGTTATCTTGAGAAAAAGAATTTTCCGAGACTCGCATGGGAGGATGAGTGATTTTTATTTGTGTGGAATTATATCCCTGGGTTTGTAAAGTCCCATTTCCCTTAGTTCAGTCCTAGAAGATGTACAGCTGAGGATTCAATAAAGGTAGAAGCAAAACCAGTGTCCAAGTTTCTGTTCCATATTGTAGCTGGGTCCAGATTAGCACTAAGGTAGTTGAAGTCCATTAGAGGAGGCTGAATGTAGGAGAGTGAGAGCCCTGCAAGCCAGGAGTCAAGTGCAAGCAAGCCAAGAGCAAGAGAGAGTGAGCTCCTTTGTTTAGGAGATTAAGTATCTCAAATCTTTCTGTGCTTGCAGTGGCCATGCCTACTGTGGCCATTGACCTGTTCCCAGGTGTGACTGACAGACAAGTACCTTCCCAATTTCACCCAGACTTTACTGGGATTGTGGCTGTTCTCCACCTGTGCAGTCCCTTCCCCCATTGATCTGCAGGGAATAGACCTGGGTAATATTAAATTGCAGCTTCCTGGCAAAAGTTGCACAAATGACATGCCTATATTATTTGGCCTTCCCTTTGTACCTTTACTTTGATTTATAACTGGATTAATTACAACAGTATCATTAAGATTTCATTTAAAAAATATGTTTTTTGATTTTAGCGAGAGGAAGGGAGAGGGAGAGAGGGATAGAACCATCAGTGATGAGAGAGAATCATTTATCGGCTGCCTCCTGCACATCCTGTACTGGGGATTGAGCCCACAACCCAGGCATGTGACCTGACCAGGATTCAAACCATGACCTCCTGGTTCATGGGTTGATGCTCAACCACTGAGCAATACTGGCTGGGCAAGATTTCATTCTTTTTTATGGCTGAGTATTATGCCATTGTATATAGGCATTTATCTTCTTTATTATCTATCGATGGGCACCTAGGTTGCTTCCATATTTTGGCTGTTGTAAATAATGATGCATTGAATATATGGATGCATATATCTTTCAAATTAGTGTAACACATTGATTAAGACTAAGATTTTTATTTTTTTAAATGATGCAAGGACAGCTAAAACACATCACTGTGCTCTGACAAAAATGTGGGAGAAGGGCAGCTCAGTAGCCAACCATCAGAAAACTCTACTGCCTCCCAAATCAAGTGAAGCAGAAGCCCTACATACTACGTCCATGGAGGATTTTCTATAGGCAAAGAGGGAATCAGAGGTTGGAGTTTTTGCAGTAGCTAAGAATGGTTAGACATGGACATGTAGACATAAATGTACACAGACATGAGTTCATAGGTACAGATATCCAAATTAATATGTATATTTCATCTTTGGAAACATTTTTTTTCTTGATATTTTCTAGGTAAACAATCATATAACATGCAAATATTAGCAGTTTTACTTCTTTATTTACTATTATTTTCTTGTGTTAATGCAAATGTTGAGTAATATATTGAAAGCAGACAGTCTTGCTTGCTTCTAATCATATGGGGAAAATGTTAGGTCTCTCACTCTCTGAGTATGATATTGGCTGTTGTTTTTTTCTAGATGCCCTTGGTAAATTTGAAGGAGTTCCCAACTCCTAATTTGCTAAGAGTTTTGTTTTAAGCCCAAGTGCCCATCATTAGATGAGTGGATAAAAAAGCTGTGGTACATTTATTCCATGGAATACTATGCAGCAGTAAAAAAGAAGAATCTCTTACCCTTTGAGACAGCATGGAGGGACCTGGAGAGTAACATGCTAAGTGAAATAAGTCAGTCAGGGAAAGACAAGTATCACATGATCTCACTCATATGTGGAATCTTTATTTATTTATTTATTTATTTTTTATTAAATCTTTATTGTTCAGATTACATTTGTTCCTCTTTTTCCCCCCCCATAACTCCCCTCCTCCCAGTTCCCGCCCCACCCTCCGCCCTCACTCCCCACCCACTGTCCTCATCCAAAGGTGCACGATTTTTGTCCAGTCTCTTCCCGCATCTCCCATTCTCCTTTCCCCCCCAAGAATAGTCAGTCCATTCCCTTTCTATGTCCCTGATTCATTATAATCACCAGTTCATTCTGTACATCAGATTATTTATTCACTTGATTCTTAGATTCACTTGTTGATAGATGCATTTTTGTTGTTCACAATTTGTATCTTTACCTTTTTCTTCTTCCTCCTCTTCTTAGAGGATACCTTTCAG